TGGTTATGCTCCAAAATTGGACTTTACATTGGGTAGAGAAAAATACAAAAAAATTCAATGATGTAAGTGGTTTTGGTCAAATCAAGCTCCATGTAAAGTATTATCAATCAAATTGGGCTTAATCTCTCGAAAGGGAGAAAATAATGAATTTTGACTAGAGTTTTTATTTGATTTTACTTGACGAAATTGTGTATTTGTAATTTAAAACAACTTTAATTGCAACCTAAACTTAATTTGAAGTTGTTTTGAGGTAATTATAGCCAAATTACGCTTTAATTATTGAAATTATTATTTTTCTCTTTCTTGATTATCGTATACTCAACAGGCCTCCAAACGAAGTCAAATTTTGGCACGAATGAACTCGTTTGAAAGCTTTCAACGATATGGACGTAATGATAAATTATGTTTTTTAAAATAATGATTTATTGAAACTTTTTTATGTATGACCATTTTTTATGCATAGAAACCTTAGTGCGTATTTTACATAAAAACAGTATTTGATGACCACCAACTGGTTTGAATGCTCCTCATATGTGATTATGAAGATCATGTAACTTACAAAATGTAATTTGGATCACGAGATTGACCCGAGAAGAAACTAACAATTTTAGATCTTGTAACGATAATATTCATGCACAAAAAATTTGAATTAATAAGTTTTACATAAAAGTTATTTCAAATGATCGTCGAACATGTTTGCATGGTATTTATATGTGATAATAACTCTCATGTAACATTCAAAATGAATACTTGAGTTCTACAATGATCCCTGGAGAAAAAAAATGATAATATCAAGGTTTTAGTGATTAAGGTTTTTTTTTTTGTTATCATTGGGTTTGGTTAAAATTGATCGTATTTGAAGATCATTTTTGCCTAACTTTGATTTGTATTAAGTTAAAACTAATTTTTATTAAATTAGGGTTTGCCCAAGACTATGCACAACTGAAATCAAGTTAAATTTAAGCCAAGTAAATAGAGTTGAATAAAAATGAAATCAATAAGAGCCACTTGCTCATCAACTTTTCAATTTCCATGAGATCCAAGTCCAAACCAAGACTGAATGGTCTCTATTTTTCCTATTCTGCATGTGATACCAACCCTTATTGAAGCCTAATTATTTTTTCTAGCTCCATGTTACTCACTTAAGCTAGCCCCTTGTGAAGACTTAGGTGATTTTTCTTCCACACGATCAAAAGTTTCCATTTTTGCTCGTCTCCTTCAATTTATAGAGACCTAACTGAAGACATGGCTTCTTGTTCAAACCGGCAAGCCCCTGTCAATCCAACCTAAGCCAAAATCAGAAACCAAAATTTTGTTTGCCTTATCATTTTGTCACCTCGCTAATCATTGTCATTATTGTCGCCGCTTCACTCGAAAATGTATAAAATGAGCTCGGAAGGGTGATTTTAAAATTTTCTATGCAAGGAATCTTGAGTGCTTGTATAAGGGAATTGGGTGCCACTCAAGAAAATTGCAACTTGCCCAAAAAAATCCTTATAAAAAAATTAAGGGATATAAGTAATGACTGAACCAAGTTTCCCATGAATATCATGTAACTTACAAAATGTAATTTAGAAGCTTGAGTATATGTTTAGGGAATTAAGTACCTTCAAAAAAAGTAAACTGCCTATTTGAAGAAATTTGTGCTTGTGATTTTACTGTTTGTAGGTACACTAAGCATCTTATAGACCATAAGTTAAATACTTTGCTTTGGTCCCCAACCGCAGTGTCTCACGACATTGACCAGTGCTTCTTATAGACAACTAAGAAGGTTGGCATCTTCTCAGCACACCCAAACAAAGGTGAAGGTCGGGAGGCTGCCAAGCAATTTTTTAAAATTTTGACTTGTAAATGACTTGAAATTTTTCCAACTTATAATATAAATGAGGATTGCCGAAAATTTAAAATAATTTGAAATTTGAGCTTTAAAATTTAGGATCTTATGGCCTTAAAATATTTTAAATTTTGGACTTTTAACATTTAGGCTCTTTGGGATTAAAATTATTTTAAATATTTGCTTTTGAAATTTAGGCCCAGAGGCTTCAAAATTATCTTAATTTTTAGCTTTTAAAATTTAGGCTCCTAAGGTTTAAAAAATAATTGGAATTTCGGGCTTTCAAATTTAAGCTCTTAGGTTATAAAAAATAACTTCAACATAAAGCTTATGAAATTTGAAAATTCACCACCAGCTTTGTTATATGTGTGCTAGCTAACAGAAGGCGACTTTAAAAGCCCAAAATAAAATTTGTTTGTGATCTAAGAACATAAAAAATTATTTAATAGTAGATCCATGTAAATGCATCAAACATCATGCAAAAGCGCCTCGGATGACATAAAACATTATGATTATATATGTGTGCTAAAGTTCATATAAAATGAGTTGCTTGAATGTAATGAGATGAGTGCACAATCTCGCAATCTCAAAATTGAAAAAAAAAAATAGCGTGTGCTCCACCAAATTAAACAAATATTTAAATACAATCTCAAAATTGAAAAAAACAGCGTGTGCTCCACCAAATTAAACAAATATTTAAATTTCAAGAGTCTGACAAAGTTTTGCGGGTTTGAATAATGTTATTACTTTGACTAATCTCATTTTATTTTTAAGTCACTCATTTGGACCACCTCATCTATAGGGCAAGGATGTAAGTCAAACTTAACTAGTTCGTTCCTCTTCCTCTAGGAGTGGAGCGATGTGTCTAGTAATTTTAATAAATTTTCAAATAACAAATTTAAGAATTTGCATGTCCAAATCATCTAGTATGATCATCCTCTTCATTAGGATTACATTTGACAAGATAATATTCTAAAGATATTAAACTAATAAATTCTAATAAAATATCAAGTATATGTGTTTCAAATGTCAAAATCCTCGATGAAACGAAGTTGATAGAAGATTTCAACAAGTAATATTTTTAAAGCTAAGTTGTAAAGTCTATTATAATAAGTTCAAATAATACATATACATATGAACCCAATCCTCTTTACATAAGACAAAGTTGAAAAGGTTCATATTTAATCATGTCAATGTAAAGTCTCATCATTCATGCAAGATGTAAAGTATATAGGGATCAAATCATGCAATCAAATTCTTAATGATCTCATATTGATTGAAAATCTCAATCGTACTGATCAATTTTAAAGTAAATTTTCAAAATAACAAATTAAACATTCAAGTAAAATTGATCATTTGAAAACTTAAAGCAAATCACATCAACACTCTACAACAGTTTGTCGAGGGCGACATAGATTTATTGACATCAGCTCACAAAAGAGTTAATATCACATCGAGGGTATTATAATATTCACGCTCAAAGTAATTTCACGTTAATAAGGACATAGCCCAGGTCCTCTGCCCGCATGGTTTGGCTCAAAGCCTCCACAAAGTAGAGGTTACGACCAGACCCCTCTGATCGGGTTATTGCCGGCAAATGATATGATTCTATTACGGTAACGATTGCGACTCGTATATTCCTCAACGACATTCTACCCTTTGAATTATGAACCAGAAGGGTACATATCATCGGCACAAAATCTTATGTTAATTAAAGTCGACTTAAATTTGTCCACATATGCAAAATTTCACCCCATATTTGACAAAAATCCTTCAAAAATATTAGATCAACTACCTTCTCTGACTAAATAGATCATGAACCATGATGACTCGAATGATAGAATCATGAGATCTTGATCGTGTTCATCATAATTTTTCGCACCATCTGTTTTAAGCTCCATATGATAAATTTTACAACTTCAAATCATGTTTATATGTTAAATATTCAACTCGAAATGACTAATAGCAATCGAAAGTACACACTTGTAAACAGGATGGGTTGTAAACCATGAGGGCTTGCACCTATGGGAAATCTCAAACCATAGATCAAAAATCCTTGTAAAATGAGGATGAAATCTTTGTGTAACGTTCTATCTATAATTCAATGTCTTTTGAAAATTTGACCCTCTAAACTTCCTCTCAACAAACAATAAAACAGAAGAAAACTCGAACCCAGCTCAGAAGTCCTTGCAAAATGAGGGTGAAAAGACTCGGTAGTAGTTTATCTATTATCTAATTTATCTTCCAAAAATTTAACCCTCAACAAACAGCTTGACAGACAATCGAGGGGCGTGAAAATTTCTAGAGCCCACCAAAATATTTTAACATATAAAAATAATAGGGTGCAGTACATCACCAATCTCCCACTTGTTTGGCCTAGGACCAAGCCTACAACTCCTTAAAAAAAAAATATTCAATTTTTCTTCCATCAACATCACTTAAATTCCTCCTTGAGCAACAATATAGAGTCTAATGCAAGACCTGAAATCATCAGGAATAAAGAGGCAAAAAGAAAAAAAGGTCAGTCCTTAAGTTCATATCAAGTGAAATTGGCCAGCCGTACGTTCTGAGAGAAATAATGTAATGATGAGAAAAATAATTAAATAATTAATCACATAATTTGTTAGCCCTGATGATTACAAGAATTTCCTTGGCTTTTTTTCTTACAAGTACAAGCCTTCTAAAATCAACAGATAAATAAGAAAATAGTTTCCGACTCACATATCATGTACGAAAAAGTCAAATACCATAATGCTCAACCTTGAGAACTTATATTGATATTTTACTAAAGCGACCGAAAATACAACCTTACGTAACAACAATTACTCTGAGTAGAAGCCTTCTAAAATCAACAGATAAATAAGAAAATAGTTTCCGACTCACATATCATGTACGAAAAAGTCAAATACCATAATGCTCAACCTTGAGAACTTATATTGATATTTTACTAAAGCGACCGAAAATACAACCTTACGTAACAACAATTACTCTGAGTAGAAGCCTTCTAAAATCAACAGATAAATAAGAAAATAGTTTCCGACTCACATATCATGTACGAAAAAGTCAAATACCATAATGCTCAACCTTGAGAACTTATATTGATATTTTACTAAAGCGACCGAAAATGCAACCTTACGTAACAACAATTACTCTGAGTAGGCTCTGAAAAACAATAAAAGAGCAGTTGTAGAGGCCTCGCAGGTTGTTCTAAAATCTTTATTCAACGTTACATAACCACAACGTTAAAACAGGATCAAATAAAATACAATTTATATTCTCACCTAAGGGAGTTCACACCTCCCCTCTGCTAAGTTTAATAACAATAGGAATCAACTTTGAGTCACGGTCATCACATTGTCAAGATGCAGTAGATATCAACAAATTTTAGTATCATAATAGAGATGACAGGCCATATAAGCAAAGCAGTGAGGCGGTCAACACACACCTATACCCAGACAGGCAACAATAAATGGCTCCCCACAGCCGGATTCAAATTCATTCAAACAAGTGCCGAAGCCTTATGTGGGCTCTGCAACTCTACGTGGTTCGCAGTCGGAATAACTTTGGAGGGAGAAACCTGCTCACCTTTGTGATTATCATTTAATAAGGGCTTGTCCTTGACTTCTTCCACAATTAAATTGTCCTTGTATCGTTCGGTCTTGTGTGTTAACACTTGAGACACAACCAAGTTTTCGCTTTCCAAAACAGTTTCCTCCTGGGTTGATATGACAGTCACATCTATACTCTGCTCCCACTGTGCCTGTTTTTTCAGTTCATTTTCTTCTCCTTCAGCTGGATTTACAGCAGAATCTTGATAGACGTCATATTTATAGGCTTTGTCCTTTTCCACAGGCTTATCATTTGAATCAACTTTTACAGGAGTGTCCTCAATAAAAGCTTTAGCAGCAGATTCTTCGTCTCCTACTACAAAATCATCATCAGCATCCATTGGATCTGCATCTTCTACGCTCTTTACTGATTGTTTAGACACAATTTCACTTTCCAATGCCTCATTATTTGAATCAATTTTTACGGGCTTGTCATTTGAATTAACTTTTACAGAAGTGTCCTCAGGAATAGCTTTAGCAGCAGATTCTTCCTCTCCTGCAGAATCACCATCAGCATCCATCGGATCTGCATCTTCTACACTCTTTAGTGCTTGTTTCACAACCTTTTCACTTTCCACTGCCTCATCCACAACATCTGCATCAACCTTATCCTTTTCCTGTTTAGTTCCATCATCTGAATCAACCTTAGAAGAACTGCACACCGTAATAACTTTAGCAGCAGTATCTTTCTCTCCTTTTGCTACCTTTTCACTTTCCACTGCCTCATCCACAACAACCTTATCCTTTTCCTGTTTACTTCCTTCGTCTGAATCAACCTTAGAAGAACTGCACACTGTAATAACTTTAGCAGCAGTATCTTTCTCTCCTTTTACCGAGCTATCCACATCATCTATGCTCTCTAGTGCTTGTATAGCCACCCGCTTCTCACTTGCAAGTGCTTCATAATCTACCACCGCATCAACATCATGCTTTTCCGCTTTAGTCCTTTCAGTCAAATTAACCTTGGCAGAACCATCATCCGCAATAGCATTAGTAGCAGCCGCTTCCTTCCCTTTCACTGAAACATCTTCAGCATCATTCATATCTGCATCATTTACGCTTTCTAGCACATGTGTAGCTGTCTTCTCACTTTCAGGTGGTTCATCAACTAAATCTGCATCTATATTATTCTTCTCATGTTTAGCCCCTTCATTTGAATCTACCTTAAAACTATCCTCGATATCTTCAGCAGCAATCTCATTCTTTCCTACATTCAACGAACTACCCACAGCATCTTTTATATCAACATCTTCAACATTCTCTGCCGCTGGTATAGCTACTCCTTCCTCACTTTTCGGTTCCTCATTCTCTACTTCTGCATCTAAATCATCTTTTTCATTATTAGTTCCTTCAATTGAATCATCTTTAGAATTATCCCCTGAAATCGCTCTAGTAGCAGCCAATTCCTTTCCATTCACTGAACCAGCCTCATCATTTTTCATTTGAGCGTATATTAAGCTCTCTAGTCCTAGTGTGGTTACATTTCTACTTTCCAGTGCCTCATCCTCCGCCTGTTCATCTACAACACCATTTTTCTGTTTGATTTCTTTCTTTGAGCTAGAAATCCTTCCTCGCTTCTTTGGAGGTTCTTCCTGTAGAGTTTCCATTGCTTTTATCTTTTCACTAATCCTAGCAGAGCGCCTTGGGGTATCACCTGTTTTCACTGATCGGTAAGTAACAGCAATGTACAGACATCGATTGTGTAGATAATATAAAAATAAAGAGCAAAAATAAACCAACCAGTTCCCCAATCAAATACAGAAGAAGAAAGATTTCCAGGATGAGACCGAAGATATTGGTTCAACTTTTTCTTGTTTCTAATCACCTCACCAGTGGGAGAAATGAAAAAAATCTCGTTCCTCATGGGAGTCCCAGCTTTCTTTGGAGCAAACTGAAGTAAAAAGATAGATGAAGCATATAACAACAGGTAGAAACAATGTTCATGGAAGTAGGAGGAAAAAAATGCAGTCTAATAAACAATCTGGGCAAACATGCAGAGCAATCTATTTACATTAGAGCATCATATTGTAAATTAATTTGAACAAAGAAAATGTGCTTGCATTGTAAAATAGGCAAATTTGAGTATAATTTTGATTTTTTAAAATACTGAATAATTGAAAAGGTAGAATCCCAATGAGCCCAATACTAAGTCCTATCTCTAAGCCCCCAATACCATATGCTTTCTTCATCTTTGCCTCTCGAGTCTTCTCATCTAGAAAAGCAACAGACAACCCTCTGTTGTTAGCTCCTTATACAAGAGCAACCAACAATCCTGAAACAGAAGTATGATTTTCTTCCAAACAATTATTAAAATTTTAAATCAATTTATACTTATTAGTGTTATATGCAACCAATTTATATATTATTAATTATTTGGTGGTACAAATTCAGCATGCTTGAAGGTAATCCTTCACCGATAGAGATTACCTAACACCAAAGTATGCTATTCCTCTAACAAGACGAGTATGAGTGCTTGTCTTCCTAGAAAAATTAAGCTTTTCTTCCTTAAGATTCGGCCTAATTGATTAAGTTGGTCCGATTGGCTTAATAGTTTTATGTCACCGTCATCAATTGGGAAAAAGTTTAAATCAATTAGAAATGCCACATTTTGCTTTAATGATCGTGTTAGCTTGCAGTGACACAAATTAATCATGATGATTACATCCATTGAAAGACTCATAAGTGAAAATTACAATCATGAGAAAAAAAGAAGCACATTAAAACACTCGCTTCAAATTGTCATTCTAAAACTTCATATAGAAGCCTAACAAATTTGAACCAATAACCCCTAAGTTTAATGGAAGTTTGACATAACTATTGTTTTGAACTTAGAATGATTAATAAATGATGAAATTTGCATGATCTCTTTCTCACTACTTTAAATTACAGGCTGCAAACACACATCAATGTAGCACTGCTTTCTAACGTCTTTTCAAAAACTTTTGTGGTAAATAGATGATTTTGAGAGTCAGATCTATTAAAGTGTGATATATATGAGAAAACTATTATCCAACATTATATTTAAAAAAAAAAATCCACATCAACTTTCAAAAAAAGTTATGTTTCCTACAGTAGGTTTGTAACTACCTTTACAAAAAACCGTAGCCACCCCAAAAAATTAATAATCTTGTAACATTGATAAATTAGTACCAACTTGTTGGAAATATAACCTCGCCATATAGGAAAAACAGCCAAATAATAGCTACTCATTAGAAGCCTTAGATTAACTAGATTGCTCTATCATTTAAACCTTATATCAACTAAAAAATTAATAAAATCAATGTGCTTGATCCATCTATCGAATCAACCAAGTACCTGTCATGAAAAATTGTGATAAATTGGATTGCCTATATGTCCATAAGCATTTTTGTGTATAGCATATCTTATAAAAGCAATCTTTGAATTATAACGCCACATTCACAATCTAATGATGTGTAGCTGCTTCTGAAAACTCTTTACTCCATCAAAATCTTGATAAAATATGCTCTTCAAAATGAAAACGCAATTATCAATGAGTTAGCACTTAGCAGTACCTAAACATTTATATAAATTTTAAGTTTTTAAATACTTTATTTGACAAAATAATTTAGTTGAATTGTAAAGTTAGATCTACAGTCATCCACTAAACTCAAATAGTTGAATAAGATAATGAATGCATTTTATGCAAAAAAAATCAAAGGTTATTTGCATTTAATATTAAATCATTTAATGCGTGTCTGGGCATAAGAATTCTATCGACATGTTTCCTTTCCACGACAACACCCTGCCTACCATCAACTAGAGGCCTTGAATATGTCGGCAATGTTGAAGTTATATTATGGCCATACCAACTTCTACCATATAGACATGAAATAAATGCTAGGCTTCGAATAAGCATGGCAACCAAAGGCAAGCATTCATCTTCATGAACCCAAATCAAAGATCAACATAGGGAAACATAAATCACCAAGGTCTTTAAGCTCTACATGGATTGAAGATCAATGGAACAAGGGCCTCATACAAACCAACACAAAGATTAATGATCCTTCAACCCTTTTTCGAAATCCTTACAAAATTGTTGAGAGAAATATGATTGAAAATTATAGCTGCATTCATAGAGAGATGCAAAAAATAAAAACAAGTTGGTTTGATGCCACAATGCATTGTAGGTAAGAAAAAAAAATTGAATAATCTATAGATGTGTGAGAGGACAAGTTATTTGCGTAGAGAGGGGGCCAAATGCATGTTTTCTGGATGATGAGAATGCAAGCCGATTGGGAGGTGGGAAAGGTTGGTGGGAAATGTTGTCAACTGAAGAAGTGGAAGGATGGTCGAGTAGAAAGGCTTTGTTCAAATAGGAAATTAAGAGATCAAAAACAAAAAAAAAGTTTAGAGGGACTCGAGGGAAAGGGATCATGGCTTGCAGTTATGACGTTGTGGATGATATAAGTGATGAGAAGGCAGAGAAATAGTCATGCGATGAGGGATAGATGCCAGAGTTTATTCTTTTCAAACTCGTTTTGAAACATTTATTTTTGGTAAAATATCCATAAAATTTCATTAATTTTTTGAATTTCATGTTGTTTATTATCGTCAAAGTCATCAATAATATTTAAGAAATGGTTCTGCCTGATACTAAATGAAATCCAAGCAAAAAGATAATAATGGGACGATTACTTCAAATTTCAAAAAGAGATGTGAAAAAAAAAACTAAAGAAAGATAAATGCAAAACCCCATAAACAAATTTAAAGAGCAAATAATAATTTCTAATTGACACTGGAAACATCAGATGTCATTGCCAATTTGATGGGAAAGTCTAATACCACATAGCTCAGCCACCTATTATAAATATCTCCTACCAATAGGTTACCAATCTTGCATTAAGAATGTCAAGACAAAAAAATACATAATGTGATTCCTTATCTATTACCCAAGAAATGGCTCTGAAAAAATAAATAAAACCATGAATATTTGGTGAAGAGTAAAGCTCATACAATTCTTGAAAAATCAAGATTATATTCTTTTTAGAAGAATAAACTATGAGCTAAAGCCTCCAAGTAATGGAAGTTCTTCATGTCACAGGTGCCTTTCGGTACAACACCAAAAAAAAAAAAACAAAGATACATGTAATACCAAAAAAAGTCAAAACCACCATTAGGGACGACTCAATTTAGTCTTGCCTCTGTCTCTAGTTCTAGGAAAGGGGTCGGCTAGCAAATTGGTGAGTTGTGTGTCATTACCCAAAGTAACCAATGTGTCATCCACTAGATTTCTGAGCTCAAGTAGGCCACCATTCTTCTTCTTCCTCCTGGATGTGTAAACATGTCATTCCTCGTCTGAAGACTGACTCATCAGATCAGTATGTTGGTCAACATATTGTCGAACATGTATAAGTTGTTGAATCCCTTGCGCTTGACTAACAATAACGACTTGCTCGTTTAGATGAGGTGGTAGAACTGCAATAGAAGGATTGTCAACTGTTGTAACCATATTAGGTTCTAGTATAAGTATGTATTGTCGCCTCTGTACCGGATACTTCCTAGGGACGAGGAGCTGCAAGGCTCTCTTGATTATCGGTTCAAACATTTTCCTTAGTATTGTTTTCAATAATGTTTGAAGGTGTAGGTTACTCAGCAGGGCCATCCGGTCACACATCAATCGCAAAAACAGAAATAGTATTGCCAGAAAGTGGGTCCCCGGGAGCAATTAAATCAAACACCAATTCCTATCTTGTGGTAATCTTCTTCACAGGTGGGGCCAATGTGTCCAAAAAAGTGGGTTTAAACCCATCCTTATTCGCTTGAGCTGTAGATTTCAAGTTAGGATGGAGTTTGTCGCATTTTTCAAGGATATGCCCAAACATCTTTCAGTGGGTAGAATAGAAAGATTTATGTTCCATGACAATTTGTCGTCAATATCCATTATGTGTTGTGCCCAACCAAACTTCTGTAATATCAAGTAAAGTGGTATCCCGTTCCACAATGATTCTGGCAACAGAAGGCCTGGTTAGATTGAAGGTAGGTAGATCGAGCTTCAGAGGATCCCCAAGTATGGCCCCAATAGAGTAAAGAACTTAATGATTAAATAATACAGTTTGAGTCCAGGTAAACTAAAACATACTGGTACAGTGGGAGGTTCAAGGTTTAAGTCAAAATCAGAAGTCCACTTCAGTAACTTCATTAACTTTCCTGCAATGTTAAGATATTTTTTTGAGAAAATCCGAGCGTAGTCTTCAGTCACGGCTTACTGA